GTAATAAATTATATTACATGAAATACTAAGTAAAAAAGGACTCACTCCTCAAGTAGGCGTTTGAGGATGTGTGTGATACTGGTGACCACTAAGGCACAGCTAAATAATGCAGTCTTGGACTGTAGTATAGCAGTAAGTGTTCCCATGTTTTTGAGAAGTATTTGCCTTGCACATGTGTGTCACCTGTGGTTTTACTACACCACTAGGTTGTAGTGTGGCCCTCATTTAACATCCATCATGGTTGATTCTCTGAAATCCAGGGGCCACGCCTTGGCTGAGAACAGCAACACAGGATGTCCTCAGAGGTCTGGCTCTGTCGCTTCCGTGCTGGAGACCAGTGGAGAGGAGGGGAGGTAGGGCGGAGGCCACACTAGTGAGATGACTGCTGCAACAGGTGCTGCCCCCGCCTCTCAAAAATGGGAGCCAGATTTGGACTCCAGTGAGGGAAGAGGAGCCTGTCTTCAGTTGGCTGGTCGGAAAATGTCTTCTGTACAGAGCTAGAGATGCTTATAGGAAGGAGAAACAGAACTAATATGTCCTTTCACTCATGGATATAGAATGAGCAGATATTCTTGGATGTAGTTTTTGTTTTTAATCATCATTGGATAAGAAAACAATGGAGTTCCATACAGTCTAAAAATGGCTTCTGTGGTTTGCAAAAGCTGTCATTGCTTGAATGAGGGTGAAATGTTTCAGGAACAGGTGTCTAAGATGTCTATCACAAGACTGTGTTAATCTCCCAGAGGTATTCATGCCTGGATTAAGCACATCTTTGGGAACATAAATGACTAATTTATAACCTGAGGAATTCAAGTAAGGTCTAAAATTAAGTTTATTTATTGGCATTAGGGACAAACCCAGGGCCCTGAGGATGCTAAGCACACACTCTGCCACTTGGCTCCACTCTGATAAAATTAATCTTAAACAATGTTATCATTTGCATGGATCATGGATTCTATTATAGGTTTTGTATTAGTTTTAGAAATAGTGTAAATGTGAAAATATCTGTTCAACATTTTCATGTCTCTACTCATGTGCCTCTTGATTAGAAATACTTTTTCCTAGTGTTATGCTTCTGCTAAAAGTGCCTGCCTCTCCAGAGGCTGTGAGATGGGCAGAAATATGTAAAGCACACAGCAGCTGTCAGGAAGGCCCAAGCCACAAGCGGAGCACATCAGACTCTTGAGTTCTGGTCCTTCAATGAGAAAGGTTCTCCAGGACACAGGATTCCCTCATTTCCTGACCAAACAAAGTTCTGGTTTTCAGATTGTAGTGAGGGAGAGAGGGGCGAGTATTAGAAAGTTTGCTTTATTTAAATGATCATGATAATGACGACAAAATCTGCTGAAAAATATCCTTTATACTTGAGAAATCACATTTCCATTTAAACATAATTTGAATTTACATAATTTGCCCTCTTTCAAAAGTTACCAAATACTTCACCCTGTTATTTCTTGTAAACATTACAAAGTAGAGAGAGATGGGAGTCATGAGTAAACCACTTACAGAGAATAATAACCATTTGGCAGACAGGGATCCCCAGTGTCATTGAGTGACCAGGAAATTCAGTCTTCTGTGGATATTTACAGAATATCTCCTGCAGGGTTCTAGGACTGGGCATGTACCTCTATGGTAGAGTACTGACACTGCATGCCTGAGGCCCAGGGTTAGAGCCCCAGCAGCAGCAAAGAGAAAAACAAGTTGTAAGACTGGATCCTTCTGGTGCTCCTTCAAGTAGACTGATGCATTACAGTATTCAAATTCCAGGCTAAGCCAGGAATGCATTTAATACCAAGCCAGTCTTAGGTTGGGTCATTGCTAGAATCTCTTTCAACTCTGTCTGAAAGTTGAAGATAATTTTCATTAGCATTATTCTGGTCTTTGCAGCCACAAGTGGGTTTCTTTAAGAAACACAATGCAAGCCACATAGTACCTTATTTTATAAATTTCCAGTTTTGGGAATCAAACTGGAAGCTCTTTACCACTGAACCACATGCCAGTCCTTTTTAGTTTTGAGATAGGCAGGACTCAAATTTTCAATCCTCCAGCTTCAGCCTCCCTTCAATTTAAGCCAAATCCCCAATCCTTTAAAAAAAGTATATATGAATATATATTTATCAAATATTATATAAATACATAATTTATATTTATATATTAATAAATATCATATTCATAAATTTTATCTTATAGAAATAATATGTATTAAATTAAAAAAATACATATTTTGAGATGAAATCTTGGTAAGTTGCCTGGACTAGGCTCAGACTTGTGATCCACCTGCTTCAGCCTCCTGAGTAGCTGGGATTATAGCTATGTGCCACCATTCTCAGTTTATATTATACTGTGAAATTAACTTGTAACTGTTAGGTCTGAGAGAAGGGAGAGGAGAAGAAGAGAGAGAGGGAGAGAGAGGTCGAGGAAGAGGTCCGTGGAAGGAGTGGAGTGGACGGCCATGAAAGTAGTGGGCAGCGGTGGCTTTATTTTGGGAACACGGGGAGAGACCCTCCCCGCCGGCCCGGGCGCAGCCTCTCCACTGCACCTGGGGCCGTGGTTAACACGGGGAGAGGAGACTGGCGTACTGGCCGCTGGAATCTGGCGATCTCTCTCTCTGGCGATCTCCCTCAGACACGTGGTGTGGGGGAATCTAAATAGCCTAAGCTTAGGGCAGTGCCCTAAGGCTATTAGAGATGTATAGGTATTTCATTGGCGCACAGTTTCTTAGGGATGGGGATATAGGGTTACAGTCAAGTCTATAGGGGGCGTGGGGGGGGGGAGGCAGTAGTTTTTTAACTTGGCTGCAGCTTTTCCTGGTTAAAGTGTCCGGTCTGGCCCAGCAACTCTTTCAGTAACCACATTTTTTAAAAAGCCAAACAAAAGGAGTTACTGGTTGTTGTTTTCGTTTGACTTTTTGGGTTTGTTTTGTGATTTTGAGACCGGGCCTGACTTCACAGCCCAGGCTGGTCTTGGACTGTGTCCTCTCCTTGCTCCAACCTCACCAGGGCTGCCAGTGATAGTAGTGTTAAACAAAATGAGAGGAGGGCAGGCTGCGAAGGAAACGTGAGCTCAGCAGGGGCATTCTGACTTTGAGGTGCTTTAGGACCAGGCGTGAACGCTTCTCTTCTCCTTTGACTTGGAAGCGTTTTTTTGCCAAAGAATGGATAGGTTGAGGCCCTGATGGGCTGGGCAGAAGCCTGCAGTTGTTAGGCTCCAGATGGTCACTGTGGGTGAGAAGTGAGGAAGTCTAAGGGTAGAAGAGAACATGAGCATGCTTGAGGGACACTGGGTAAGCATGTCCTGCTGAGCCCGATGGGATTAGAGCTAAGATCAAAGCTTCCCTAATGTAGTTTGCAGATTCCTTTTGTTTGGCTTTTGTAGGATGGAATCACAGAATGTTCCAGTTTTCAATTAGATGTCAACATTTCCACACAAAATCCAGACTCTGTTTTTTAACTTTGAAAGGGGCTGAGGTGGAACTGGCAACATTGGTGGTAATAACTGAAGTGTATCCATTTTCTCTCTTTTCACATATTTATATTATTATGGACATTTGGCCCTGTGGACATTTGAATTTTCTTCCTCTGAGCTAAGGGTCATTAGGTAACAAAGATACAAAGATAGATTAACAGCGCATTAAAGAAGGCTTTGAATATCAAACTAAGGAGCATAAATGTAGGCAGTGGGCACCTGTGAATAAGGGACTGATGAAATTAAAGCTGCATTTCAGAGGATTATTCTGTACGAGTGCAAAAACAGAAGTTTTAGACAGAATTATTACCAGTTTTGAAAGGGAAGAAAGAAACAAGATGGTGTGGCATAGACAAATGGTCCTTCAGAATGTAACATGGATGTAAGCCAAATTAAAATCTTTAAAAACTGCGAAGTGGAGACAGCAAATCCCACAAAATGGAAGTGTCTCAGAGAGGGAGATGGGGTGCGGGAAGCTCGGCACTGGGGTGGCTCTGCCACACTGGGACTGTATGGGCCACTGAGCTTGAAGGGAAATGTGCAGATCTCCACGACTCAAGCCAGGGCTTGGTAATTCCAGACAGTGAATGCAAGGGGCAGTGCGCTTCTCGGCCTCTGTAGTCTGGAAGTCTCCACAGCTGCTGTTCCTTTACAGTAAGTGGCAGGAAAGGGGCCTTTGTCCTCTCCACTGGTCCCTACGAGGGAGGGGTGGAAATGAGCATCTGCTCATGAAGTGTAGACCAGGCACTCTGTTTTGTTTTGTTTTGTTTTGTTTGTTTCTTTTGCAGTGCTCCGAACCCACCTAGGGCCTCCTGTCTGCTAGGCAAGTGCTGTACCACTGAGCTACACCCCCAGCTCCCTAAGTGCTTTACCTAGACAGTTTACTTAATCCTTACCACCACCCTTGATAGGTACCATTGCTATTTGCATCTTTAAACTGGGGTTTAAAATATACCCAAAGTTACATAGTACTAAGGAGTAGAAGTAGGACTTGAACCCAAGCAGTCTGACTCTTCAGCACTTAAGTCTGTTAGCCATTGTCTTTAGTTCTTCAAGTGCTACACAAGCAAGCAACTAGGAAACCTTAAATCTCCTCCTGGTAGCTGTGCTATGATTTATTTCAAGGGTATTAGTTTGGCTCAGGTCCCCCTAACAGAAATAAAACTCCAGAAATGACATGTTCACTGTCTTTCAGTTAAGTATGCTTGGTCTTTGGGTAACCTTGGGAAAACTAAGGTATTGAGGTCTGTGGTACATTTAAAGATCTGTTCTCTTCCTTTGGTGAATGGCTCAGTGTTATAACATGTTCCGGTAACACTTTACTGAAAAATTCTCACAAAGACTCATTTCTTAATATGCAAACCGAATCATGTCAGATTTTCTTCACTTGTTTTCATGACAACTTATCATATAAGAAATATTTTAATTTGGGAGGAGGTGAGAACCCCCAAAACTGTAGAGAAACAAACATTTGTTTAAAACTTGTCAAGTTTTCCTACCATAATCAGTGTGATTTTGTTTTCTTTGGTCTACAGATGAAGCACGTGAATGAAACATTTCAAGAAGCAAAAAATAAAGAGGTGGCTCTCATGAGCATTGGCATCACTTCCGGAGTCGGACGGCTTCTCTTCGGCCGGATTGCAGATTACGTCCCTGGTGTGAAAAAGGTTTACCTACAGGTACTCTCTTTTCCTTTCCTCCCCCAACAGATGTACTTTTACGTCCTCGTGGTTCATTAATGTACTGATATGTTTAACTTCTTCTATAAAAATCAAAAATTTCTATAACATTGCTACAGGCAGTTTTTCCAGGATAAAATCAGTTATGAATTTGAGTTTTAAACATCAGTAATTCACAAACAACAATCTGCTTCATTTTATCAAAGAACTCCAGCAAACCAAAATTTTGTTTGCCCATTGCTTTTTTCCACGAAGGATTCTTTATTTTCAGTTTTGCTCTTACAGTCACATGCAGACCCAGTGCCCTTTGCTGTGTCTTGGGAAATTTGAGTGTGTGTATAACTTTAGAGCTTATTACAGATTCCCTGCTGGGTGTTAGCAAGTCTGCATAAACAAAGTGCTAACTCCAAGGTCATTATTGACAGGGGACAGGTATTTAAGTAACTACTTCATGTCAGACACTGCTAACTGCTACAGAGTTAAATGAAAAGTAGTCCTTTGATCCTAGTAGCTAAAGATTTCATGGGAGACAGATAAAAGTGTGGCAGCCCAGTGGAATGATGAGTGTGCTAGTCGCGCTCAGGGAAACTCTGACTCACTAGTAGGGTCTGAGCAGTGTTAAAGGGATAGGGATGTAGCTCAGTAGTAGAGCGATTGCTTAGCATGCACAAGGTCCCAAGTTCAGTCCCCAGCACCACAAATAAAAAATGATCAGCAGTTACATAGAAAGGTGTTCCAAGCAGTGGAAAGCACCTGAGGCAGGGTTGGAGGTGTACATGATATGTCTCTCTGGGAAACAGAATGTTTAAATGGAATAAAGGAAAAATAGTAGATGGATTAACCAGGTAAAGGACCAGGTTGGAAATGGCCTTTAGGCACATAAGAAAGGATTAAATTATTCTGCAGTCTAGCAGAAGCATTTAAGATTTTTTTTTTTTTTTTTTGTCTTTTTCCTTTTTATCGGTACTGGGGATTGAACTCATGACTGCCTGCTTGCAAGGCAGGCGCTTATGCCGCTGAGCTAAATCCCCAGCCCCCACATTTAAGGTTTTTGAGCAAGCATGAATTGCGTTTCATAGAAATCAATACAGTAGCTGTGAAAGGGTAGAATGGAATGGGGTGGGGAGGAGCTGAGGTGGTCATGAGAAGTCACATATTGAATTTATTTTGATGTTCTGAAATAGGCAGGTCTGTAGAGACAGAAGGTGGATCATCAGGTGACTGTCAGGGGCTAGAGGGAAGGAGAGGAGAGTAACTGCTGCTGTATGTGGGGTTTCTTTTTGGGGTAATGAAAATATTAGTGGCAGTGGTTGAACAACATTGTGAATATGATTTTTAAAAACACTGGTACACTTAAAAGGGTTGACTTTTATAGCTTGGGAATTATATCTCAAAACCATTATTTAAAAAGTAGAGGCACAGAGAGCCCTCTAGAGAGTAGCTGGAGACTGCTGAAGTAGACTGTGCAGGAAGAACCAAGCCAGAAACACTGGGATCAAACAGGTCAACTAGGGCTGTGGCGAATGAATGTTCCAGGGGCCACTTAACCTGGCCTGAGATTTGTGGTTTGGGACTAACAAAGAGATGGCTTTGTTATTTTTAAGGGGTCAGTAGTTAAGTAAATCTGCATTGAGTGATGTCATTTTTGCCATATGAAATGTGTGGTGCTTGCAAAAAAAAAAAAAAAAAAAAAGATTGAGTTTGGAGCTGTATGGGGGAGTCTGGAGAAGAGACTATGAGGCCTTGGCATTCATGGTCTGCACTGGGAGAACTGACCAGGACCCTGCTTGGGTAGAAAAAACTGAGGCACACAGTGTTTCTAGGGGCAGAGGAGTGGCCAGCAGAGGGACTTTAGTGAAGTGGCAAATACAGATTGATCACGGTCCTGCAAATAAATGAAAAGACAGACACCTATATCCACAGCTTGGCTGCTGGAGGAAGGTAGGAAGAGCCAAAAGGAGGGCTTGGAATGCAGGGGCTAAGCACGTCCCTTTAATGTTACAGATGAAAGGCAGGATTTGAACAGTGCCTTGAAAAGAACGGGAAAGTGATTGGAAGAGCATTTATTGTAGCTAACTTCTGTGAACTGATTAGAATAGCCACCAGATTAATCTTTGTCGCAGCCCCGTAAGGGAGCTACTGTCCTTATTTCCATTTACACATATGAACACAGAACAAGAGAGAAGCTACCTTAGGGGGTGTCTATGTGTATGGAGGTCCAGGCAGGCAACGAAAGGAGAGAGCTTGGTCACACAGCTAGAAGGAAGTGCAGAAAGCTGGGAATGTGTGGGGGAGAGTGGGGGAGGGGGTGGGGGTGATGTCATGGGGGGGTGGTGATGGTGATGGTGGTGGTGGTGGTACCTGCAGATTGAACCCAGGGCCTCACATGTTTGGATGCTACATTGTACAATATATGCATTTTGTGATGATCATCCCCCTCTTTATCAATTCCTCTTTGTACATAGCCTTGTCTATTTTAGTCTCATTCTTAAGTGTCAAGAGAGCCCTCTAGAGAACATTTGTTGTATTACACACTTTCAGCTTTATTTGCTCAAAAGGCCTCTTAACACCTGGTAGAGTTAGACACCCAGGCATGGACCCTGAGCTCCTGAAGCAAGACTAAGAAAGGAGAAAGTTGGGTGTCTTTGGGACAGGACAGGGAGCGTAGCATGAAAGAGGCTGAAAAGCTAGCAGGACCAGCTATCCAGACCTTGAGAGTCAAGAGAAGGAGCTTGTATTTTAAATATGGGGGTCTTTATTGGAGAATGTTGGTCTAGTTTTACATTTTAGTCTCACTGCTATTGCTCTGTGTGCAGAGGATGGGTTACAGGGAGGCAGGAGTGCAGAAGAGGAAGAACAGTTAGATGACAAGTGGCCAGATGAGGGATGATGGAAACCTGCTGTAGGGAATGGAGTCGTGATAGTTGTTTTGCAGGACTAAAAATCAAACCTAGGGCTTTGCACTTGCTTGGCAGGTACTCTAGCGCTGAGCTCCATCTCCCTGCCTTCTTCCCCTCTCTCCCTCACTCTCTCTTTGGCAGTACTAGGGCTATTAGGGCGTGAACCCAGATCCTTTGCACTAAACTACATCCACAGACAGCCCTGTCTCTTTCTCCTTTATCTTAAGACAGGGTCTCTCTAAGTCACTCAATTGCTCAGGCTCAGCTCAAACTTAAAATACTCTTGCTTCAGCTTTCCAAAATATTGGAACTATACAGATGCACCACCATATTCTGCAAATTTTATTTAATTTTATTTTGAGGCAAGGTCTTGCTCAGTTACTCAGGTTGACTTCAAATTTACAATCTTCCTGCCTCAGCCTTCTGAGTACTGGGATTACAGGTATCTGCTACCATACACAACTCCAAAAAAGTTTTGAAAGGTTTTGCCTCTTACAGGTGGGAAATAGGTCATTTGCAACATTTGGAGGGCACACTTGACTACTTTAATTTATAAGAAAATCTCTGACTTCCCTACGGTTGGTCTGCAGTGATACAGCAGTGAATTAAGTCAGGATTTTTGGGTCACATCTTCATTTCAGATGAAAGGGTAGCCACACATGGCTTCTTTTAGGCCTTATCTAATATTTTGCATCCAAATTTAGAGTAGCATTTGTGACACCCCGTGGGGCACAGGTAGGGTAGCTGTATTTCAGATACCAGAGGAGCAGCAGGAATTCTTAGTGTGTTCTGTAGCTGATGGAACACAACACAGCACCCAGGCCCTGAGGCGTCCTCTGTCTCCCCTTTCCCCTGGCTTCTTTGCCCTCAAGGTTTTTGATTCTTGACTCTTGTTTTTTTCCTGGACTTCAGCTCTGCTTCTATCCATTCTGTTTGCCTTTTGGTTCAGCCTCAGGGGTTGGAATGCTCTTCTGTTTAGCTCCTTTGGTTGGTGGTGGATTCTCTCAATTTCTCTTTGCTTTTGCCTGTTACAGCACAACCTTGTGGAGTTGTAGGAATTCTCTTCCCTCCCTGTCCCCTGGAAGTCAGTTCCAAGTAGCAGTGGGACCTAGAACACCCCGCGTGCTCCAGTTTCAGGTCACAGGCATACCGATTCTGGGAGGCCCACAACAGAGGAGCAGGCTGTGGAGTGTGCAGCTTGTCTGCAGAACCAGCAGAGGGGCTGTGGTAATGATTGTTGGTAACCGTTTACATGAAGCTCTAGGCCCAAGCTAGCTAGTTAGTGAACCCTTGCTCTGAGGGCTGGTTAGTAAACCCTTGCTCTCGGGGCTGGTTAATAAATCCTTGCTCTAATTGATTGACTGATTGAGACATGGTGGCATGCTGTAGTCCAGCCCAGCCTGAATGTACTGTGTTGCCCAAGCTGGTTTCAAACTTTCCGTCTTCTGCCTCAGCCTCCTGAGTGCTGTTCAGCTCACAGGCATGCACCACTGCATAGGGCTCTATACTTAATATTATGTTAGATACAGGAGGCTAATACTGATTTGGAACTGTTCTCAAGAAAGCAGACCTCGTCATCCCAAATAACAAGCCGTCCCTCATAAACAGCCAAGTATTCAGGGATGTACCTGATCCTTTTTGCTTAAGAGTTGAAAATACAAACTTCCATCCAAGTCCCTTGTTCAAGTGTTCCAGCCTATGCCGTCTGAAGGCTGAGTAAAGCCCACTGCTTATGGCACAGGAGACAACTGAATCTCATTCTGTGAAGGGACAGTGGCCACCACAAGCCTCGTGAGGCTGCTGGAGCCCGGCCTTTCTCGGGAGAGAAGTTACCTGTGCACTTCCACCGTTTAACCTCCAGGCCTGTCCTTCTGGGCACTATTAAGTTACACTGGTTCATCTGTGTCTTTACTGTTAGGTGTTTCAGAAGCATGAGAGTATTTGAAAGATTTGAAGCTTTGAGGCCACTTCTATTGTGTGGTACTTCTTGGTGACATGGAGATACAGAGGTGTGGAGCCCACGCCCGTGTGTGTGTGTGCAAAGCCCCAGACAGCATGCTGGGGGGCTGGGATAGTCCAGGAGGGCACAGGCCATAGTTTGGGGTCTTCTCTGGGGGAGAGAGGGCATGGGCTGGGGGGGAGCGGGCGAGAGAAGCCTTTCATGCATTCCTGTTTGCACATTTCTGTCAGACTTGAAGCTTCAAATGAATATATTCATGAGTTACATTGCAGTTGTAATTTAGAAAAGCCAGTGATTCCCATATCTATCTTCCTGTGCGAATTTCCCCATCAAGTTCGGGTGTGCCCGTCCTTGCTGCCTGCCTGATGGCGAATTCCATTCCCATCTTAGCATTTTCTTAGGCCCGGCAGTATAGACTTTACCTAATATAAGCTATTTCTAAAGAAATTTCCAAATCCAAACATGTAACTGTTCCCAGCCTGACCAAGGAAGAGCATCTCAGTCTCACACAGACTCTGGCACCGGTGCCCTTCCTCCTGCAGAAACCGAGCCCTTCATGCCCCTGTGAGCAAGCAGGTCCGGCTGCTCCCTGGGAAGCAGCTCCTCCATGACCTCCGCATGCCTCGGAAGCAGCAAGCCCTGAACATCTCCCCTTGGGTTGTGAGGGACAGGCGGCTGGCCACCTTCCGGCTGCTGCCTGACTCAGGCTCTGAAAGTCTGGAAATTCGATGCTGAATCAACACATTAGGAACAGCGCTCGAATCCCACCGTGCCCAGTAATGAGGCTTCTCTGAAAAGGCCTTTTCTGCTTATTCAGGTGTAGCTCGTTTTTCCTTCCAAGCTACGCTTAGATTCCCAAGGCAAATATAACTGACATTTCAAGAATGCCATCTCTGTAGTAGGAGTTGGAAATGTATGAGGCACAGAAAAGTTCTTCCATACATTAATCAACTCAAGGCAGGCTCGTTCTAGGAGTGTTGGTGGCTGTTTGTATTACTGAAAGCTCTAAAAGATTCGCCATCACTGTTCATGAGCCTGTGATACGATACAAAATATTTCCTTGAGTGGCTTTAGGAAGTGTTTGAATAGCTTTCTCGTTGCTGTAATTCTGTGCGTTTTTAATACTTGGATACATGCAATGCCAGCCTGAAAATCGGTCTTCATAGACGGAAACACTCACAAACCGGTAAATGTAATGGACAACAATAAATAAATGCAATGTAAAATCTAAACTGTTACCATACTGTTACTAAATGTCAGTGCCAGAGCCTAGAGGAGAACTAGAGGTCTCTAGATCCCTGATTTAAATCTAACCCAAGCGGCTGTGCTGGGAGCAGGGGTGGCTGCATGTAATAATGCTAAATTTATGCCTCTTTCAACATGGGTCCCAGTATCTACAGATCAATATTTGATTTATGAGTCAGTGTTTATTTTGGGAAGTGATAAGGAAGTATGAGGCTCCTGTACGGACATCTCGTTAACCCTTGGCATATGTGCCTTGTGGCCCAGGTGTCCCTGCGTACAAGGAAGAGGTGTTCGTCCTTACCAGCAGGCTTGTTCTCACCAACGTGGCTACGTGCAGGGTGGCAGCAGCTGCCGGGAAAGCGCATATTCTCACCACTGTAGCTGCAAATAAGTGAACAAGCCAGTTAGTCTTTGGAGAAATGCTTAAAGAATAAATGCATATATCTCTATAAACACAATTCTTACAGATTTACGTGTAAGTGACAAATGATCCATTGTCAAAAAATTTTAATGATATAAATTAATGTAGTTTAAATTGAGAAAAGGTAAAGAATTAAGAAATAGTATATCCAAAATATGCTTGAAACTCCTGAACGAATTCCTTTTTACAAAACTGAGCAAAGAACAAAATGTTCAAGGGACCAAAAACAGATTTGACAAATTAGGAAAACTATCAAAAACTACCAAACTAGTTACCAAAGGAAAACTACCAGCTACTAAAGTGCTTGGATATCTTGTTTCATGAAAACATTTACTCTGAAGCAGAATGGACTCTGCGCCAAGTTCTGTACACTAGGCTTTCACCATGACCAAGCTTAAAATTCCACAGAGCTCTTTCTGTTATCCTGAAAGAAACAGTAGGCAAAGTAGGAAAAGAACATGAAACATAGTAAAAGAAAAAAAATGCATATTTTTTCCTGAAAGTTAACAGCATGATCACCTGCTGTTGCTAGGCAGTGTGTGGCCTGTGGTTTTATCAGTTAGGTGCACTGAGTCTGGCTCTATAGTGTTCTAAAATTTTATTCTAGATTCTCTAGAGTTTGATTATAGGTATGTTTCTAAGATTTTCCGTGTTTATCTCCTTTTAAGTTTATAGACAATCACTGTATATATAGTTAATATTAGAATTTGTCTAGTTAATTTTTTCAATAAATATAACTCCTTACGTCTTTACGTGCTTGTTAATTTCAACTCACTTTCTATATTTTATCTTTAGATCTCTGCTCAATAAATGGAAACATCTCAAATCTTTCTGTTTACTTAAGGTCACAAGGAGGTAGAACCTGCTTTCCTTTCTCTGAGCCCTGGTTCCTTCCAACTTTCTAGGCTATAAGCCCAATAATTATTCACTGCTGGGAAACTGTGCTTTCACAGAAGTAAGGTTGGAGAGAAGTATATTTTATTAGAAAACAAAATCAGGATAATGAGATCTTATTCTTTGGAAATGCCAGTGTGATGTGTCAGGCTTTATTTTTTAAGTAGCCAACTTAAATTCTGAAACTAATCATATATAATTTGACTATAATGCCACACTTTAGTAATGAATAAAAATGCACTGGTTATATGTGTATCCAGAGCAAACTAATCTGGACGTTACATGATTTCCAAGAGCACGAACGGCAGTCTCTGCAGCTGTAGGCCGCTGTATCCAGCTTCCTGCTGTGCTGTGTCTTCGGTCTGCTTGGGTTGTGAGGAGCTGCCCTGATGCATGTAGCCAAGCTGAGCATTCCACAGTGGGCCTGGGAAAACTGAGAGAAGCTATGATCCAGAGAGCTGCTTTCTCTGGTCTTTCCCGCCTCCCAAGCCCTAGTGTTACTGGGGGATACTTGTCTCGAAACAGTTTTGTGTGTTCCCAGCCACTGCCTGCATGAACCACAGACTCCATGGTATCTTGATCGGGTGCACTCTGGGCATATTATCCTCTCCCAGTGTCAGGTATCTTCATCTGTAAAATGGGGATGCGGTAAAGTGTTTATAAGAATTGCCAGGGATATAATCCAAGTGACTAGAATAATGGCTGGAACTCAGTAAAAACCAAATCAGTGATTGTGTTATATGCATAGACCTTTAAGAAAACCTGATGCTTTTTAAAACTTCTACTAAAAGGCACAGTTTTAATTAGTTTTTGCCTAGTTATTGAATTGTGTATTCTCTCCTTTAATTGTAGTCACTTTACTTTGAATAAAACTATGGCAACATCTAGAGCATTTCATCTGCAGCTGTATTTACTTAAATGTCTGTTTCTCCATAACCCAAGAGGAGGAGCCAGGTTCTTACTCATTGTTGAAATTTCTAGCACATAGCACAGTGTCTACCAAACAGTAGGTAAAAGTAGGTATTTGAGTTTATTAAGTAACACTAAGATTAAAATTCTCAGTGGCTCAAAATAAATATTCTGGATCTTATTTCTGGAGTGCTTAAATATGTCTGTAACATTTACCAGTAAAATATAACCATTTTAAGATTTTAAAAATGAAGTGTTTAATGAATGAATTTGAGCTGGTTGAGTACTGACCAGGCATGATCCCTAAGTCTGACATCTAATCCAAAGACTTCCAAACTCTGACCTCAAAGAGTTCACGGCTTGGAAGAAAAATATTACTTCTTGTCTCTTAGTGAAAATATAAAGGAAATAAAAAGGAAATTTCAAATCATTTGCCATCTAAATAAAGTCTGGGGGAAAGGGATATAAGCAGACCTTACCTAGAGGTCACTTTTCCTGAAGCAATGTTGACATGTGGTCATCTGTCCTAGGTACTGTCATTTTTCTTCATCGGTCTGATGTCCATGATGATACCCCTGTGCAGGTTCTTTGGGGCCCTGATTGCTGTCTGTCTCATCATGGGTCTCTTTGATGGATGCTTCATTTCCATCATGGCCCCCATTGCCTTTGCATTGGTTGGGGCCCAGGATGTTTCCCAAGCAATTGGATTCCTGCTCGGACTCATGTCAATACCTATGACCGTTGGCCCACCAGTTGCAGGTAAATATGATTCTCCAGTAGTTATATGAACTCTGAACATTCTCTATTTTTGGTCCTTCGCCATATTTTCATGTCAAATGTTTTATAATTCATTAATTATTGATCCTTTTATTTTTGTGTGTGTGCCTTAGCTATAAATAATATGTTGAAAAAGATTTCGAGGAAATTCCTGTTTTCCTTAGGTAGCAAAAAAGTGTGTAACAACATTTAGGAATTAAGCATTCCATTTTTTTATGTTGTTGGGGATTGAACTGAAGGCCTTGCCCATAGTAGGTAAGGTAAGCACTACACCATGAGCGGTATCTCCAGCAAAATTCTACTTTGGGTTTTTGGCAGGGTGGGGAGGGTGTTGAGGACTGAACCCAGGACTTGGGGCATGCTGAGCGTCAATTCTGCTGATAACCCCAGCTGCTTAGCTTCTCACAATTCCCATATTTGAATTGTTACATGCTTTAGACTTGTTAGAGAAATAGGAGCATGTTTTTTAAAAAATATGAAGATTCTGAGAGATTGCTAAATATATATGCTTTGTGAAAGATGTCCCCCTGAGGAATGTTTGAAAAATAACAATCAGTAGAAACAATTCAATTGTTTTATCAGTGTATGAGTGGGAAACAAAAACGTGACATATGTTACTGAAATTGTACGGACAGAGGGCACTTGGATGGGGAGGTGACTGGTCTGCTGCCCTCAGAGGCACACCTGTTCTCGCTTGGTGATAGTTTTTTCCCTTTCCAGGGTTACTCCGTGACAAGTTGGGTTCCTATAACGTGGCGTTCTACCTCGCGGGAGTCCCTCCCCTTATTGGAGGTGCTATTCTTTGTTTTATCCCATGGATCCACAGTAGGAAGCAGAGAAAGATCCAGAAAGCCACTGGAGGAGAAAAGATGGAGAAGATGCTGGGGAATGAGAACTCTCTGGTGTCAAGCTCATCTGAAATCTTCAAGAAAGACTCAGATTCTGTTATTTAATGTCTTATATACCTCCACCAGACTGGACTTGCTTTTGAATTCTAAGCAAGTTTTCATTTTATATGAATTGCAAATTTCTTATTTTTTTAATCACATCCTTGGAATAGCACAACATGTTTTCTTCCACCAAGTAGCTATCTGATATTTCCAAAAATCTGAGGGAAGAGACTCTGTTACAAGAAAACATGTCCTAAAGTCAAATACTGTTGAAGATTTGAAGCTATCTCTGTAAAAGGCAACTCTGGAACTGTGAATACTATTTAAGCCTGTAAAATATTTTAAAATACCTCAAGCTATACCGGAAGGGTTACAGTTTGGTTAGAACTGGAAATACTTTGTTTGTTGTCTCACGTAGTGTCTTAAGCTCCGGTACTTCTGTTTTAAATTCTACTCTTTGGAAACATTTTGTGAAATGTACGCCTGTACTCTAGGCAACACCTAAACTGCAGAACTATGTGAAAATTGCCCTCCTGCTGCTCACTAAGCTGCGGAATTAGGGTATTGTGATTTGTTCCAGGGTGGGGTGACCTGGGAGCAGATGCTAGTGGTGTATTTAACCTGAATGTGTGAGGAGAGGAGGCTCCTTCTGAAGGGGAAGAGCAGTTTGCCTCCACATGTGTTTGCTTCATTTGTCTTTGCAGTGTGTTTTGCTCAAGTAGTCAAAACATCCCAAACTTACAATTTTGTTAAAACAATAAAATACAACAGAATGCATGAAAGCTATTCTGAAAATTAACTAAGAATATTTCTGACTTTTGGATTTATTAGCACTGACACTTAAAATTCTCATTGAACATTACCAAATAGTTGAAGGCACAAGTTGGAACGAGGGGCAAAGCCCTTTTTTTTTGTGAATAAAATACTATTCTGACATAAACAATTGCTTAAATTGGTTTATGAAATTAATAAGTCTTAAATTGTGAAAAGTATTTATAAAGAGAATCCCTATAGTTTCGAGTTTTATAGCAAAATTTGCATCAGGTGTGCAGTCATGTACTGCTTAGTGACAGGGATGTTTTGTCTAAAGCTCCATCTGTTCCTAAACCACCTGTGAGGTGAGAAGGTGTCCTGCTGTCTCACTGCTTCTGTCTTCTCTCCAGAAGAGCAGAGCCCTGTGGTTCTCTGTCCAGGCAAGGAGGGGGCTCCCTGGAGAAACGTAGGGTGCAGTTGTGGGTCTGAGGGTGGCAGGTGGAGACAGGAAGGGAGGCTGTTAACTCAACATTGGAAACCAAGTGACTTGGTTTTCAGCTTTCTCATCCGCCACCTTGAAAGCTCATCGTGTAAATACTAAATGCAGAATTCATTTTCATAGTATTTTAGTGACAGGGATTTTGATTGTGAGTCTGTTCGGCAACACAGTGCGCCGTCCACACAGCTGCTTCATCCTCCTCCTAATAGTTCCATGGCAGGAGTCTTGGGGAGTTTGCTTGCAGAAAGTTCTATTGCAGAAAACAGACATGCCACACACTGACCATACCACCCTTTCATGTTCTTACTGTAAGTTTTTCAGAAAGGATTTAGACATAATAACATAATATACTCTGTAGTAGTCCTTCACTGATTCTTCTCATTGTCTACAAGATTACATCCTTGTTGTTAAAAAGCTTTAAAAAAAAAAAAAGACTAGTTACCAAACCTACATTATAAAAGTTAATTTCTAAAAGTTTTAGCACAGATTTCTAAAGATCCCTCACATTTTACAGAAAGATAATTTTAAAATGGGAAATTAACTTTGTAAGGACCTCCAAAATGTTTTTCCTTCCAAAATTTAGCTAATTTTGGAGCAAGAGAAGGTAATAAATCTGAACTCTAAACATTTGGTCTTGCTGAGTTACTTTTCACTTTAAAACATCAAAGTGGCTTAAGGTTTTAAAATAAAAATTTAGATTTCAGCATACTGTGTTGGTATATAATTTACACATATAATTTTCAGCTTAATAGAATGAATCAAACTCAATCTATAACACTAAAAAAGTTCTGCTGTAGTAGATGCTTGTGAAGGGAACTATAATCATTTAAAGTTAGAAAAGGATAAAACAAGCAAAATTCCTTTAAGTAAATATTTAGAAACGTTTGGTAAGAAAAGTTCCACAGATCTAAAATACACAAACCAAAAATATGAAAATACTTATCTATAAAGATTTGTATTCTAGATTAAGAAAATATTTGTAAAAATCCTAATTTTTTTTTTTTTTTTTTGGAAACATGGTCTCACTATGTATTTCAGGCTGGCCTTGACTTCACTGTGTAGCCCAAGCTGGCTTTAAACATGCTGTGATCCTCCTGCCTCAGCCTCCCAAGTGCGGGGGTTATAGGCATATACCACCAAATCCAGCAAATACTAATTTCTGAACACTTACTGTTACAGTATAGTGACTTGATACAACTATTTGCATTCAATCCAGGCACTTTTCTGAGAATATACAGTGTCAGAATTTTTTAAAAATCTCATCATCCTACCTGTGATAAGACTCAGTAAACCCTCATATTCAAAAAGTTCTAGTGTTTGAGGGCAACAATAACGTAAGGGAGGATTCATTATTCCTAGCAACTCAGGATCAGATACTATAGTAACAGATGCCCAGGTTGCTCCCAGAAATATTTTGCTTAACTGTCATTTCATTGGATATTGTTGGGTCCATCAGTTATTATTACTCTTTTATTCACAATTTATAAATGTTTATCATAGCTATAACACTTTATAGCACTGCTATGACTTTGTTTCCACTGAAAATTGCACAGTGTTAATAACAAGCATCCAGTTCCATTCATAAATAGAAATAAGACTTCACTTGTATTTCATGATCCATATACATCAGTTTATATATGTTTGTAGATAATCCTATAGGTTCCACCCAACTATGGAGAAACCTTTAATGATTTTAGCTTCAATTTCCCACACTTGGGAAGCAAATGTACACTTAATTATAAGCAGTAAACATTCTTCAGAAAATTAAGCTTTTGAACTGCTATTAAGCATGTTTTAATTTATACCTGTGTTATATGCCCCTTGCTCAGATAATTTTTAATGTTTGCCAACAGAAAATGTGACACGAGATTTGGGGGAAGCGCCTGTCCTATGGGTGACTCCGAGGGGTGTCTTGTGCTGGGCGGCCACATTCTTTATCGTATGTATCCTTTCTCTTACCCTTCCCGTTTTCCTCATCAGTCTTTTGTACATTTCCTTTCCTCTAAGATCCTTCAAAGGCATGGTGTCCAGTAACACTCTTGCTTAGCTGCACTTTTGCTGAGCTGCACTACTTACTTCCTGGTCCCCACACTTTCACGGAAGAATCCCAACCAGTTTTGTGTTGTTGGAGAATAATTAGCCCGCAGTCTTCAGCTTACAGTCCAGTGATCTAGAATAAAAGTTTTAAAGTTCCACGATTAAAATATTTAAGCTTCATATCATTGTTATTTTTTGTGATAGATTCTAAAATTTTTGTTTAAGTGCTTTGAGGAAAAAATTGCCAAGTTTTTAATATTTTCAGAAAGCATAATTTTCACTTTGACTTTCATATTCCATGAAGGTTTTATTGAATCTTAGTCTTGAGAATACATCATGGAGAATAACTTGGAGCATACTGGGCCTCTCAAGCCTTTCTAGCAGCTGATCATTAGGAACATGTGGTTGGGTTATATTCTGTGACGAGTTGTGTTACAGTAAAATCGCAGAGTTTACTGATACAAGTAGAAATGCACAAGCTACTTAGCTCCAACTTTAACATATGTGAACAATTTGAGCAAGTGTAAGAAACCAGAGCATGTAATCCCACCGCTCTGAGGCTGAGGTAGAAAACTCAGTTTCATCTCAGCCTGGGTAAGGCAGTGAGATAGGGACCCTCTCTTGGCATAAAATACTTCACAAAGTACTGAGAACATAGTTCAGTGTGAAGCCTCCGGGTTCGACCCCCAGTAGGAGACTTTAAGAAGGGGAAGGGGTTAGCTCAGCAGCACAGCACTTGCCTGGCAAGCACGAGATCGTGAATTCAATCGTCAGTACTTAAAAAAAAAAAAAAAAAAAAAAAACAAAAGGTGGGAGGGAACACTGTTCTAGAGGTTTTAACAATGAAACTTCATTGTTTCTGGCATGAACATTAAGAAGGAACTTTTGTATTAAGTTTAAGGTTGTTACTTTTCCAGTGTGTTGTCTCCGAAGATGAAGTTTAGCTCTTTAAAAAGCAAAGGTCTTGTCATTATCAACACAAAAGAGCAGCTGGTCATTCTAACAACCCTGCGGTGTGGCGGCCCAGACTCTAGAAGAGTGTTGCTCTCTTATCTTACTAGTTTAGGTTCATATGCTCACTGATTTTTATTGACTGTTTGCTCTGATGTCCATAAAAAGACTCTGGAGCTGAGTTTGAGACTAGGACCAGGACTAAGTAATAAGGTGGACACACAGTTCCTGGGCTCACTGTGGTGTCACAGCCGTGTCCATGTTTATTTGTTGGCAAAAATTCTTTATGTCTAAATAAACTGTAGTAGGGTTTAGTTCTCAAAAGGAAAGGCCAGCTGTCCGTAGTTACCTTTAAAAACTGCACACATGTGGGAGTCATAGTCTTTGAACCACCATAGATGACTTTACAGATGATGCCTGAGGAAATAAAGACCCACGTCACGAAGCTTTGAATCGCTTTGAGAAACCTTGAAACTTAGGGCATAGTTTACCTATCTTGTCCTTTTTAAACTGTCAAGAGTTTAAATAATGAAACTTTTTTATCATCTCAATCACTATTCATTCAGGGAAATCTGGTTTAAAGGTCAATAGATCTTTCTAAATGATTACAAGCTCGATTGTGGGGGGCTAGTCCCATTTCCTTGACAGATTCAGAATAATGTGAGAGGCTGACTCATTTCCCAGACAAGATTTCAGTATTTCTAACTAGTAAGAGACCATGGGAGGGGACAGCACCTTTCTGAGAACTTGATGCCCAGGCTCACTGATTGCATCATGACAGTTCACCTACCTCAGCTTTCAACCAAAGACTCTGCTCAGCCAACTCCTGCTTCATCAGAGGATGCTCCGGTGATTCAGGATTCAAAAGCAAAATAAACTAGTACAAGTTGTAAATGGGATCTGAATTTCAGCAAAATTTCTTTAGTACTTTTTTCTTAGACATAGATGTTAAACGGACAAATAAGGAATCACAACTAATATGACCTGTGAACCAGACAAAAGACAAAAATTGAAAATATTTGTTAGACATAGCAATGAACATTTGCTAAAATGCTTCATCTGTGGCTTTTAAATTGTGCTAGTGAAGAAAAAGCCTGTTTTCATTGGCAGAAGGACAGGTGACCTCTGATGGTACACAGTCATATACAAACCTCACAATTCACACACTAAACTTCTGTAAGGTGCTTTTTTCCTAGTGGGACAGGGACCATGGCAATGAACTTTTGTCTCTAGAGTTCTGTAAAAAGCTGTCTTTGGGTCTGAGAACATGTAGGACTTAGCCCGTAAGTTCCCAGTGTAAAGATGTCTTCTTGCCTTTCGGTGTGAGTGCTGTAACAAGAGTGTTGTGGAATTGAGTGTCACTAAGCATATATGTGACAGGAACTATCCATAGAGAATAAATATATCATTTTATATCAAATTACTTTAGTGTCTGTCATATGACTTTTGTTCTTTGCTAGATAACATTTTAAAATATTAATCAGTTTGTGAATATGGTAAATGTGTGAAAACACAGAAACTTTCTGCTATGATCGTTCCTAATGGATTGCAGTCTCTTTCATGTTTCAGTCTGTACCAGGATATTATTTCAGGGAGCGAGGATTTATAATTCAGGGAGTTCTATTTTGATCCCACACTATGGACTCTACAAAGAAAGATTAGATCGAGATTATTAGTGCTAAACTTCAGTTCCTTTCAAAAACCTTTTTTTTTAAAAATATAATACAAATGCATAGACCCAACAATACTATACACATTGCATTTTGTATACATCTGAGAACAAAACTTCACTTTTAAAATGATTAGTGAAGTCAAGTATATAATTTTGTTAACACTGAAGTATTTAAATTATGAGTCACACAAGAAAATGATCAGTAAATGAAAACCTTCTGATGGTCATGGCCTTCCAAGGTAATAAGTGTTAAAAAAAAATCACCATGTCAATATTTTGAGCACAAAGCAAGCTATTTCTATGATTCTGAGGGAATGTGAACAGTTTGCATGTATAGGAGCTTGCTGAAGCAGACATTTGAACATGTGATGCTACTCCGTTGTCTTTTGTCTAAAATCAGTGGGGGGGGTCATCAGCTTAAAACTTGAAGAGTGGGTTGCTCAGTTATATTTTTATCATTTTAAAAATTTCTCACTGAAAGTCTCATTGTTCATCTTCAGATTTAACAGAGAGACTTAAATTAGTAGGCACTGCATCTCAGTCCGTGTGCGTAATCTGCCTGACAGTTTGTCAAGGGCTTCTAGCACCACAGTTGCGGATGAAAATTCATGTCATATTAGACACCCTAATGTTCCTGAAAGCAGATATCTAGGCCAGCTTTCAAAAGACTGCTTTAATTGTATTTTGACTATTTTATCAAGTTAAGTCAGGAAAACACTATCACCTTCCTAGTTTAAAAGCCACGCTTTTGTAATTGAGTATCCTGGATTCACTAGCAGTGACTTTCTAATCTTAACGTGTGCTACACATGGACGGGAGAACTTCTTAATCACAGTTACAGCCCTTTAGTAGTAACTCTTAATGTAACCATTAACGTACTGCATTGTTTGAGAAGTGTAATACTTTACAAGCATCGCACAGTGCTTGGTAGCTTGCATTTTATCTGTTTATTGTCCTATCAGTTTAGCTTGAAAGTTAGACTGACAATAAATTAAACCCTGCAGTATTAGTGTGAGTTTGGATATATTAAGTATCTCTTAGTCTGTGTTTTTTCATGTCCATTTATTGTATTTTAAAGTTCATGTGAAAAGTATTTTAAATTATTTTGTATATTTTGAAAGTTAGAGAGACACCTTATCTTAGACAACAGACCCAAATTATTCCAGGCACACGTGTGCACCACATTGCATCTCTCCTCTCTGTCCTGTTTGGGATGCCACTGCTGGCACAGTAGTTGTTGAAATACAGATCACTATGCTAAAGGATCATTCTGGATCTGACCAGTATATGGTATTTTAGTGCTTTTTAAATTTATGTTTTGTTGCAAAGAGTATAATTTGTAATTCTTTTAAATAATGTGCAATTGAATACAAAATATTTTTTAATGAAAAGAGCTTTGTAATCATCTGAAAAATATGATCATTTTACTGTGGAAAAATGTGATATTTTCAATAAATGCAATAAAATTTTTAGCAAAATTCTTTAAAGCTTTGTTATATTTATGGAATTTCCCAGGTAGAAGGGAAGAAAAATAACTGAAATGAGTCTATATTGAATGAAAGATTAATAACCACCTGCTTTTTAAGCTGCTCTCTCCCCTTCCCTCTCTGCCGCCCTGGGGGTTGAACTGAGAAAGATGAGCACAGAGTGAGCTCGGCCTCCTCCTTTTATGCTTTGAGACGGGTTCGCTCCAGGTTCTTCAGGCTGGGCTTGAACTTGTGATCCATCCGCCTCCCACATTGCTGGCATTACACTTCCATGCCCAGCTCTACATCTTTTTTCATGAAGACTTTGATAATCATTTGGAGAATAAGACCATTTCACCATGGAAAAATGGGATATTTTCGGTAAATATTATGCCAATATTCTGTAACATGCTTTTTTTCACTTAACATTTATAGATATCCTTCCTGTGCCAGGGTTCAAGGATGGTGTCCCCAAAAGGCTCATGTGTTGAGGGCTTGACCCTCAGTGGTGCAGCGTTCTGAGGAAGGCTTGGAGGGGTGGCTGAATGGTGAGGGCTTTAACATCATTTGTGGATGGCCTGCAACAGCATGGGCTGTTTCTCTTCTGCCATGACATTCTGCCTTGGAGGCAGCACACTGTGGCCTGAAACCTCTACAAACTGTAAGCTGAAATAAACCTCTCCTCCTTGAACTTGTTGCTGTTGTGTATTCTGTCTCAGCAATGAGAAAAGTAAGACATCTGGATTAATTTCATAATGATAAACATCATTGCCATGAACAATACAATAGCTAAAGCTTTATGTTCACTTTTATTTTCTTTAGGCCAAAATCCTAGTAGAACTGAGTAGAAAAGCAACCTTTGCAGTTGTTTTTCTCCTCCTCCTCTTCCTCCTCCTGCTCCTCCCGTGTTCCCCTCCCTTATTTCTGCACCTCCCCCTCCCACTTTTCTCTCTTCCTTATTCTTATTTTATAGTACTGGGGAAGGAACTCAGGGCTTTTGCACTGAGCTATATCGCCAACATCTCTCTCTTCCTTTTAAAAAAAAGTCTGAACCATGATCTTGGTAGGTCACTAAGTTGCCCAGAGTGGGTTCAGGTTTACAGCCCTTTTGGCTCGGCCTCCCCAAGTGCTGGGATTCCAGACATGCACCACACACGTGGGTTGTTTTTTTTTTAAATCTTGCAAACTAAAACTTTCATAGGTTACAAAGAACTTCATTGTAAAATATCACTGTTTTGAAATTGTTAAATATATATAACATAAAATTTCAATTTATCACTGGAACCTTTTTATCACTTTAACCCTTTTAATATGTAGTACATTGCACTACGCATTAAGGGTGTGTGTGCTGCTGTAACTCATCACCACCATCCCTGCTCGGACTGAAACTGTCCCTGGTGAACATGCCTGTTTCCCCTCCCCCAACACGTGCTAACCACTATTCTACTTTTGGTCTCTAAGAATTGGACTGAGGTACCTCACATGACCGAAATCATATATCTGTCTATGTTTACATTTTTATTACTAATACTAACGTAAACCACTCAGCCATTTGCATTTCCCTTTTGGGGGTTTGTCTATTCTTTTCCTCCTTGTATTTTCTATTGGGGTTGTTTACTATTTTCTTATTGATTTGTGAACACTCTTCATACATTAACTGTGGCCTTAATGTACACTGCTAAAAATTTTCCTTAGGGTCTTATTTATCTTTTTATATTTTTTCAAATTAGAGTTTTCATTGTTATAGATTCTATTTGTCTTAGTCTATTTGGGCTGCTATGACAAAATACTTCAGATTGGGTAACTTATGAATAACAGAAATTCAGGGCTAAGTGTAGAGCTCAATGTACTTCACATGTGTGGGGCCCTGGGTTCAATTTCCAATACACACATGCACATAAAACACACCGGTAAGAATAATAATAATAGAAATTTCTTAAAATTCTAGAAGTTAGGAAATCAAAGATTGAGGTACCAACAACTGTTAGTGTCTTGTGAGGGAAGGGCAAGGCAACCCCTTGAATCTCTTTTATAAAGGTAATAATGCCTCTTCTGAGGACTCCACTTTCATGACCAAATGACTTCTTAATACCAAGACACCAGAGGAGAGCCTGATGCTTCCCAAGAGGTGCTTGTAAAGCTTTTCTTTCCTCCACTTTTGCTAACCCTGGCTGCCCTAAACACCTTCCAGCTGCCAGGAAACGTTCACTTTGACTGTGGCAGCCCGGTAGGTTTCTCCCAGGTACCTTAGCCCTCCAGTTCTCTGGGTGACCCTGTCCCTCCGCAGCCTGATACCCGCACTGTGCTATGCAGGAGCCCCTCTATTCCCTGTGACTGAGCAGCACATCTGTGGCTGATTTCTATCTTGAAAGGAGTGGGCTGGTAGCACTAAAGACCACTGGCACTGAAAGCGGCCAACAGCAGTGGTAACACAGAAGGCAGCTGGCAGCCCGAGAATGGCGGGCAGGGATGGAGAGCTGCTAAGAGCTGCTGACTCTGGCTGTCTCCGTAGCTGCCAGCACCGGCAGTGTGAAGAGCTTCTGGGAGTAATAGGGAGAGCTGGCAACCCTGGGAAATGAGACCCACAGGCACTCAGAGTTTAGGGTCACAAACACTAAGTGATGCACTTTGCCTATCCTGATTTCTGACTGAGCTGAGCAAAAGAATCTTCAGCTGGTTACTATGGACTTTGGGGAGGGCACAGGCAGATAACACTGTCAGTGCTAATGCATCAGGAAGGCCTTCCGACCCCTGTTACAGAAATGTAATCTTACACTTCCTTCTAATATCCTTATGGCATTGTTTTCACATTAGATCTGTAAACCGGTTTAGTACCATGAGTGGTGTGAAGTTAGATTCTGTGTTGGTTAGCTTTCCAGAGCTGTGACAAAATACCTGAAAACCACTACTTCAGAGGAGGACAGCATATTTGGGCTCGTGGGTTCGGAGATGCTGGTTTATGGTCACTTGGCGCTGTGGTTTCTCCATACTGAGGTGGAACATCATAGTGGGGAGCCTGGTAGAGCAAAGGGGCTCAGTGCATGACAGACAGGAGGCAAAAGAGTAGAGAGGCCAGAGACAAGACAGACCCTTGCAAGGCCTGCCTCCCAGTGGCTGCATCCTCCAGCCAGGCCCTACCTCCTGGGGTTTCCATACCTGCCAACCCACCAAGTGATGAATCCATCAGTGGGTCAGTTCCATTGACAAGGTCAGAGCTTCCCAGTCTGATTACTTCTCAAAAGTCCCTCCTCTGAGGACTGCTGAGCTGGAGAGCAAGCCAAGGAGCCCTTGGGAGATGTTTCAGATCCAAACCATCACAGACCCCAGCCTCAGGCCACACGGCGCAATAGGAGACCCCAGGGTAGTGCATGGACTTTATGCTGAAGCACAGGGCTAGCCTAGTAAAACCTCACACTGCACGGGTCCTCACAGTGCCCACCCTAGGCCTGCCTGTAGACACAATGTCTGGAGTAGCCAGGCTGTCCAGATTTTCTGCTAGCTAGCAGCATGCATGACTGGTGGCAGTGATTTTAAGCCATGAGTCCACCACACCAAAACATAGCCCATAGCACTGTGGCCCTCGGTCCTACTCCAGCGTTGTGCTGCTCAGGGCAGGCTGTGGGCTTAGGGTGTGACACAACTACTGGGGGCCTAGGTGTGATTGGGGCTGGACCAGCCACAGTGATTCTGTCCAGCTCCAGGCCCTGGTCTTACAGGATAAGGCATCGGGGCTTAACCTGGTCCAGGGAGAGGCTTGGGATGAGCTGTTGTTGCACGTTCTTTCCTATTTCTGAGCAGTGGCACCAACAATACAGGTAGGGGAAACCCAGGCTTAAAATTGCCTTCTAGCGCGCAGCACTGCCAACAACCCACTTCCCGCCATTGGTTCTGAACGCCATCTAGTGCTGAAATAGTGGAAGTGAATACGGCCATAGTGGAAAATAAGCATCCTGCTTACAATTATGGAAAGGCAGGCACAAGGGAAACCCGATTATGAAAACAGGATGTATACCTGATCCTTAGTGTCTAGATAATATCACACAACCATGAATATCAAAACCTTCAGGCAATCATGATCTCACCTACTACTCAAAGTAAGATGACAAGAGCTGACTAGATAGTGATGAGTCTGGAAGAACGATCAGAGAATTTGAAACAACTGCTTATTGTAAAAAAATTCAGTGAGCTTCAGGGAAGCAGAAAAATTGTGCATACTCTAATACATAAAAGTGACAAAGAGATAAAAGAAAATGAACTACAAAAGCAAATTCTTGACCTGAAAAATACATTCAGCAAAACTCTATGTTTAACAGAAGGCATCACTAGCAGGAGGGACCAAGCAGACAAGCAGAGAGTGCACTTCTCTGTCTGTCCTTCCGGGAAGGCCTTGCGGATCAAAGGCGCCTCCCTGCCAAGTTTGGTCTGTTGAGCCCTGAAGCCAAGACCTTTTCCCTTAAAGTCCAGTATTATGGCCTGTATAGGCAATTAACAATGCATTCTGCTGCTTTGAGGAATAAACTGGAGAATGAAGAATTAAAGCAGATCTTTCCATTTAGAGGAGATTTTTTAAGTTTAATCAGAGTCAATTAAAACAGTTAATTTTAAGATGATTCACTGAACCTCAATTCTGCTGGCCATCTGCATTAGGTATATAAAATGGGGCTGGGGGACAGAAATGTAACACCCAGTCAGTGTCACTGAGCTACTAGTAACCAAAAACAAGGCTAAAATAACTACACTACAAGGCAGATTTAGTGAAAAAACTTAAATGGCACAACTTTTGATTAGGGTTCCAAGGGAAAATTTACTATGTTCAATAAACCTCACTGAAGACCCACTGTGTGGCAGGCACTGTGCCCTACAGGATAAATACAACACAGTACCTTCCTGAGCTTCAGGCCCTAGTACCACATAAAACAGCTTTTGATAGCAAAATGCCCACAACATAACACTGATTTTAGAGCACAGATGCCATAGTGGTGAACGCCTGAGGAAGGTTAATGGTGAAGGCAGAAGGCTGCTTGCTTATATGTGTGTGCATGTACACACTCACATATGCACATGTGCATGTGCTAAGCACTGAACACAAGTCCTTACACATGCTAGGCAAGGGCTGTACCCCTGAACCTATCTCCAGCCACATCTTGAGAATTTTTTTCTTAATATGAATAATGGTTATACCATTTATTAATGTTCACTTAGTAAAAATTGTTAAAATGCACACTTCCCTATATGTTGCCTTAAGTTTAAGATATATCTACTTTAAAAAAACAAAAACATAAAAGTTTGGCATAGTAGTACCAGCCAATATTTCTAGAACTCTAGGAGGCTGAGGCAGGAGGATCACGAGGTCAAGCCCAGCCTGGGTCACTCAATGACTTAGTAGGACCCTGTCTAAAAATAAAAAATAAAAAAGGACCATGACGTAGCTTGGTATAAAAGTAGTAAATTCAATGCCCACTAATCTGGGAGCACAGAACTGCAAATAATACAGTAAATTTATTTATTTTGTCTTTTTGAGACGGGTCTCACTGTGCAGTTCAGGCTGGCCTTGAGCTCACTTTGTAGCCCAAGCTGGTCTCAAACATGCAGTGATCCTCCTGCCTCAGCCTCCTGAGTGCTGGGATTACAGGCATGAGCCACCACACCTGGCTCTAAAGTAAGTTTATTTTTCCGTATTTTTATATCATAAATTTGTATTTTAAAGAAGTGTTAAAAAGTACAGCAACATTTTAATATAAGGACACTGCAACATGGTAAGATTAGAGATGCCGGGGAGAACATAGTGGATAGGTAACAGCAGCTATGGAGGCTCTTTGAGATAGCCAGCTTAGATTCTAGGAATGGTGCAGTGTGGGGAGTCCTAAGCATGGGGAGATATACCCTGT